CCCAGCGGGGTACAAAGCTGGAATGACAAGCTTGTGCTGCTGTGTCCCCCCATGTCCAGCTGTTAGTTGAGGAGTTTTGCAAACTAACTTTTGCCTGGGCTGTCCTTGAACCATGATCCTTCCTACTGTGTCACCCTCCCAAGATGGTAGGAAGACGGGGCTCTCTTTCTGAAGCCACTGGCCTGCCATGAAGTCTTGAGTCTATTAGAAACCCAGCCCCATGGTTTTCCATGGATCCCAAGGCTTTTGGGAGGCAAAGCTGATCAGATAGCTGTTCACCAGCTTATAACACTGTTCTCCCAGGGTCTTGTGCGCGTGAAGAGGCAGAGGCGAGATTCCTTCCTGGCCGTGGCAGACTTTCCTGCTGTTCTCAGGGATTTGAGCCAGGAGAGAATCGTAAGAGGCCTGACCTGTGAAAATGGTGCCAGGTGTTGCTAGGCATCCTGGTGCCAGGCCTGGTGGAGGCCATGGGAAAACGGAGGGCCCCTTACTGGGATGGCACTCGCTGGAGTCCTGTATCTTCCTCTGGTTCATGTCTTTAACTTGTCCTGGTAACAGAAGGAGACCAAATGCCCTGTGAATTCTCCCACAACATTGGCATGGGGGCCAGAAAGGGAGCGGACCAGCCTCGGTGTCTCTCCCACCCCTCCCCAGAGGCCATTGCTCTGCCCACACCCCCCTGCAGCTTGGCTCTTCTGGTTTTGCTCTGGTTTGGCTCTCCTTCCCTGCTCCCCTCCCCTCTGCTCCCTTGCATTACATCACCGTCTCCTCCCTGACATTGGGTCATTTGTGTCTCAGCTCTGTGTCCCCTCCTCTGAGGTTTCCCCTATACAGCATCCCTGTGAGTCTCCCAAGTTCCTGTCTCTGCATCACCCCTCAATGAAAACCCAGGGGACAGGTGTCCCAGCCCTATGAGGGGACAGCCCTGGCCCCTGACAGTCTGTGGGTGAAGTATGTCATCCTGCACGGCTCAGGTGCAGAGATGACCTCGGTACACCTGTCGGAGGCACAAGGTCACTGCTGCCCAAACAGGTGATTGCAACTTCTGTTTCATTCTGTGTTCTAATTTGCCAGTTCTGGAGAAGTGGTCGTGTGTTGCCAGACCCTCAGGGGGTGTAGTCTTGCTTCAGCCCTTGCTTTTCCAACTTCTGCCAGTAGGTGGCATCATAGCCACGCTAATGGACACAGGCAGTGTCTCCCCATTCCCATTCCATTTCACAAGGAAGCAGCAGTCCAGTGGGGCCCGTCAGGGTGAGGACTCCTACCCCCAGTGGGGTGAGTCAGGGTGGGGAAGCCCCTGCCCCAGTAGGCTTCTTGTCCCAGCTTCCTGCCCAGCCCTAGTGGCCTTGCTGATCTGTTGGTTGTTGTTTTTTAATCTTCCAGCTTTTTTTCCCCTAACTTTTTTTCCAACTTTTTTCTCCCAACTCTCTTCCTCCTTTCTTTTTTTTTTTTTTTTGGTCGGTCGTGGGGCTTGAACTCTGGGCCTGGGCGCTGTCCCTTAGCTCTTCAGCTCTAGGCAAGCACTCTACCACTTGAGCTACAGCGCCACTTCCGGTTTTCTGGTGGTTTATTGGAGATAGGAGTCTCACGGTCTTTCCTGCCCGGGCTGGCTTTGAACCGCAATCCTCAGATCTCAGCCTCCTGAGTAGCTAGGATTACAGGCGTGAGCCACCAGCGCCCGGCTCTCTTCCTTCTTTCCTTCCTTCCTTCCTTCCTTCCTTCCTTCCTTCCTTCCTTCCTTCCTTCCTTCCTTCCTTCCTTCCTTCCTTCCTTCTTCCCTCCCTCCTTTCCTCCCTCGCTCCCTCCCTCCTTTCCTTCCTTCCCTCCTTCTCTCTTTCTCTCTCTCATTTTTTGCATTTTTTTAATTATAAAGGTAATGTACAGAGGGGTTACAGTTACTTAAGTCAGGTAATTGAATGTATTTCTTTTTGGACAATATTACCCCTTCCCTCTCTCTCTTTTCCCCTCCTGTCCCCACCCCCTTGCTGATCTGTTTTTTTGTTTGTTTTTGTTTTTTGTCGGTCTTGGGGCTTGAACTCTGGGCCTGAGCACTGTCCCTGAGCTCTTCATGAAGCGCCACTTCCGGTTTTCTAGTGGTTTATTGGAGATAAGAGTCTCATGGACTTTTCTGTCCAGGATGGCTTTGAACCATGATCCTCAGATCTCAGCCTCCTGAGTAGCTAGGATAACAGGCATGAGCGACCGGTGCCCAGCTTTTGCTGATCTGTTTTTAAGATGTTTTTAGGAACAGACACTATGGTCCCTGTCCTGGGTGATGATCTCCCCGGAGAGAGTTAGGGTCCAGATTTCCCGCTCAGCATGCACACACTTGCCAGGTACAGGGAAGCCCACACTTTGTGCTTCACGTGGCAACAGGTGGAGGGGAGAGTGTACAGACACACCAGAGCTAGAACTTGTTGTCCTCTCCCAGTGACCTGGGGACCTTGGCCTAATGGTGCCTTGAGGGTGGAGAGGTGATTCAGGTAGGAGCGTGGTCAGACCTCCATAGGTACCCCCCCCCCCCCCGTTTTTCCATCCTGCCTGGGGGAAGGTCTCCAAGGCCTTTGCCCATGTGCCAACATCCCGAGAAAGAAGGCCCACATGTCACTCACACACCAGACACCTGGTCATGCCATGTGCCAGTATGAAAACAAACTGATCTGTATTACCAGCTGAAAGATCCCTGGGGACATTCATAAGAATAATGATCCCTGGGCTGAGAAGATGAGCCCGAGTGCAGAAAATAGTCGGAGGAAAGGCCGCCACAGTATTATAGAGCAGTAGCTGATGCTGGCCACAGATAATGTCAGGTGCTAGTGGCTCATGCCTGTAATCCTAGCTACTCAGGAGGCCTATATCTGAAGATTACAGTTCCAAAGCAGTCCAGAGGGACTCTAATGTCTCCAAAAAACTGGAACCGGAGGTGTGGCTCAAGTGGTAGAATGCCAGCTGAGTGAGCAAGAAGCTTTGAGTTCAAAACCCAGTACCCCCACACATTTTTTTTTCCAGTAAGCTTGTCCTTACTGATTGGGAGGGTCTGCAGTCAAGGTTAGCCCTGACCAAAAACTAATGCGACCCCCCAACCCCCGTCCCAACAATAGCTAGGCGTTTGGGGGCATGCTTCATCCAATCTATTTGGGAAACACAAGTAGGAAGCTCAAGGTCCACACTGGCGCAGGCAACATCTGTCTCAAAAACAAAGCAAAGCCAGGCACTGGTGGCTCACGCCCGTATTCCTACTCAGGAGGCTGAGATCTGAGAAGTGAGGTTCAAAGCCAGCTTGGGCTTTCCGTGAGACTCTTCTCTCCAGCAAACCACCAGAAAATGGGAAGTGGCGCTGTGGCTCAAGTGGTAGAGTGCTCACCTTGAGCTGAAGAGCTGAGGGACAGTGCCCAGGCCCAGAGTTCAAGACCCAGGACCAACAAAATAAATAAATAAATAAAGCAAAAGGTCTGGGTTACCTCTAGTGGTAACTTACTGTCACCAGAAAATAAGGTCACAGTTTAGTGATGGAGTATGGTGAGAAGCAGCAGCAGAGGGAAGCCCTCAGGTGCTGCTGGAGACCCAGCCCTCAGGGCAGCGTTCTAGAAGGTGTCTCTGTTAGAGGCCTTGAGATCAGGAGGTGGAACTCCAGGAATGGGCTCTGCTTTTATTTTACTTTTGGTTTTGGAGACAGGGTCGTGCTGTGTAGTTTAGGCTGGCTAAGGTGATAGCCTGTAGTCAATCCTCTGTCCTCAGACTTCTGAATGTTCAGATGACAAGTGTCTGCCACCATACCCAGCTCAGTGCTGTTACAACAAGAGACACGAGAGAGTTCTCTTGTCCCTTCTCCACATATAGGAAGTGGGCCCCAACCACTTTTGTTAGCTTCTAGCTAACAAAACCATGAGCGATAAACTCTTGCTCATAATCCAGCCAAGGCTGTGGTGTTTCGTTACAGTGGCCTGCATGGACTAAGTACCTGTAGGGTGATCTCGGAGGGAGCTGAGCCAAGGCAGTGCCCCGGGGCTCTGCCATCTGGTGGGCACTGTTGGAGCAGACACGTGTAGACTGCGCTAGCTACTGGGGGGCACACGTGGTGCCAGCTGTCCTTTGAGCACTTTGAATTTTGAATCATGAGAATGGTCATTTTTTTGAAGGATAATTGTGTGTGTGTGTGTGTGTGTGTGTGTGTGCGCGCGCGCGCGCGCGCGCGCGCATGCACGCACGCATGTGCCAGTGTGTGCCAGTACTGGAGCTTGAACTCAGCCTTGGCATTTTTTGCTTAACATTGGCACTCTGCCACTTGAACTATACTTCCATTTCTGGCTTTTTGTTGGTTAATTGGAGATAAGAGTCTCTCAGACTTTTCTGCCTAGTCTAGCTTCAAGCCACAATCCTCAGATCTCAGCCTCCTGAGAAGCTACGATTATAGGCGTGAGCCACTAGTGCCCAGCTGGACAAAATGTAGTTTAAATAAAAATGGTGATCAGATGAGGGATAAAAGAGTAACAGAAGGGATTTGATAAAAGTACACCATATCCATATAGGGAACTATCACAGTGCAACCTTTTGTACAGTGACTCTGCAGCGATAAGAGTTGAAGCCAGGTGAGGTGTCAGGATGGCGGGTTATTTCCCCTGGGGCTGTGAAGTGGGAGTCAGGCTAAGGGAGGACTAAGCCAGCACCACCCTGTTCTTAGCGAACCACCTGGGGGCTCCCTAGATAGCAACTGCTCAGCTTTGGAAAGGAGGGCGATTCCCCTCTTCTTCCTTTCCTCTGTGTCCCAAGTTCCCTGAGTAGGCACCTGTTTTTCCACATTCGATTATGAGGTTATGTGTGTATGGGAGGAAACTTGTAAGAGCACCGCTGGTGGCAGGTGCATGCGCGGCCAGCACCCCTCCACCCCCTGCAGTCCCCAGACTTCTCCATGTGCCTGAGCATGAATGAACCTCAAGAGCACAGTGCCAGGGAGCAGCTGGCAGGCTGGCGGGGTAACTTTCCCTCTCTGGTCTCCATAGGAGCGCTGCGTGGCCGCCCTGGCCAGGGTGGAGCGTACAGACTTCCTGTCACCCATGTGCATCGGCGAGGTGGCGCATGTGAGTGCGGAAATCACCTACGCTTCCAAGCACTCGGTGGAGGTGCAGGTCCACGTGACATCGGAGAACATCCTCACAGGTAACTTTCACACTGCCTGTTTGTACTTCACTGCTGCTTGCACACATGAGGGTGCCCCACCCCAGCCCCAGCCCCATGGGCAGCTTCTGCTCTTACCTGAACTTTTCAGATGAGGCACTCATGGGCTAGAGATTTCACAACGAGAGCCCAATACTACCCAGCCAGAACAGGATCAAGGCTCAGCTACCACCTTGCGGTGGCCACTTAGTCCGTGGCGGAGCTGGGAGTGGTCCACGGCCTCTCCCTGCTCTCCTGGAGGGTGGCGGACACTGGCTCAGCCTCGGGAGAGGCCCACCCCGCCCCAGCCTGAGCCAGGCCTAGATCGGAACTGCTGGGTGAACCTTGCTCTGGGTTCTTCTGCTCTGTCTCCTTGGCCATGGTAACCATGGAAACGTGTCTCCTCTTTCTGTGGGGGAGCGAGGCTCCTTCTCACTGGCTCTCACACTTCTTTTTATAACCAGACTGGCGATGGGGAAGGTGAACCTCCGGCTGCCTCCTGCCCGCTCTGCATCCCCGTGGTCCCAAGCCACCCTCCAGGCCCGTGCAGAATAGCGGCTGTGCTGCGTCCTTTCCTCTCCTTCTTGGTTCCTTGGCAGTGGGGCCTGTTCTCTTGATAGGCCAGGAACTTAGTTATCCATCTGGAACTTTCCAGTGACCTCAGCAGGATTGGCACTTAGAACGGGTTGCATCAGTCCAGCTACAGCACAGTGCATGATGTGGCTGAGGGCTGTCTGGGGGAGAGATGGTTGGCTCTGGGCTGTTCCTTTAGACTGGGCCCTAGATACAGAAGGTGTCTCCAGCATTGGAAGCACCCTTGGGTGCTGCTGGTCTCAGGCTGTATCACAAGAAGCAAAGTGTGCACCACTACGGGAAAGCTTGGCCTCTTCCTCTGGTGGCCACCGGGATGGACATTGCCCCTGCGCAGGAGCAGAAGTTCGCTGCTCCCAGAGCCTCTCGGTCTTCATGCTTGTGTGTAGCCCGCCATTTTGGCAGCCGGCAGCCACTGTGGATTCACTGTAGCCTTGGCTTTAGAAACAGTGGGTCAGTCGGGCTGCCTTCCTGATCTGGTCTTGGAGGCCTGTTCTGGACCTCATGGGCTTGGTGACTAGAACAGCACCGCCGTGTGCAGATGGCGAGAAGCAGGGTCAGAAAGATGTTCAAGGCTTTGAGATGGGCAGGACGGACCCTCCTCAGTCCCTAGGGCAGAGAGCAGTGGGCCTTGCTCAGTCAGGGGTGCTGGGGCTAAGGATTTGCTCCCTCCAGTGAGAGCTGCCTCCAGATGGCGACTTCCATGGGCTCAGCAAAAGAAAAAAGAAAAAAAAAGACAGGCCAGAAGCTGGGCACCAGTGGCTCATGCCTGTAATCCTAGCTACTCAGGAGGCTAAGATCTGAGGATCATGGTTCAAAGCCAGCCCAAGCAGGAAAGTCTGTGAGACTCTTATCTCCAATGAATCACCTGAAAACCGGAAGTGGCGCTGTAGCTCAAGTGGTAGAGCGCTTGCCTTGAGCTGAGGGACAGTGCCCAGGTTCAGAGTTGAAGCCCCATCTTTCTAGTCAAATCTTGTCAGGTTCCTTCCTCAACCTCCTGATGACCTGGCCTGTCTTTTTTTGTTGGTCGTGGGGCTTGAACTCTGGGCCTGGGCGCTGTACCTCTTCAGCTCAAGGTGAGCACACTTGAGTCACAGTGGCACTTCCAGTTTTCTGGTAGTTAACTGGAGATAGGAGTCTCACGGACGTTCCTGCCCAGGTTGGCTTTGAACCTTGATTCTCAGATCTCAGCCTCCTGAGTAGCTAGGATTACAGGCGTGAGCCGCCAGTGCCAGCTAGATGACATGTTGTTAAGGTTCTCACACTGAGGGGACAAAGCCCAAGCCTCTGTTTGCCTACCCCATGGGCATGCCCTTCCTCTCACTGCTGCATCCTCAACCCCAGTCCAAAGGGCCTGGACTGCCCAGGAGGGCGGGGCCAGCTCTAGGGCACGGAGGCAGTGCTGGCATGGCTGCACATGTTCGCCCTCCTGGGACCTGGAGTCTTGCTCTGTGCCCTCCTGGGCAGCTTCTCTCAGTGGAGCTATGTCATGGCCCTAGGTTCTCCTCAACTCCTTCCTCACAGGCCCAAGGCAGGGCTTGACTTGTCTCCATGTCTTCGTCACCTCATCCCAGAGCCTATTCTGTGACCCCCCCTCCCCCCCATGTCATGCTCCCTCTTCTCTAGGTCTGCATGTCTGTTTCTCAGCCATCTTCTGGCTCCCCACCTTAGACCCCGTGCAGATCTCTGTTGTCCTCCGTTTCTCTCCTGCCCACATGTCCCCTGGGAGGTGCACCTCTGTGCCTGGCCTGTAGCCTCCAGACCCATTCTGTTCTCCCAATGCCCCCCGAGCGCACATGCAGTGTGTGGTCGGCCCTGGGAGGGCCAGGGATGTATCTCTAACAGGGCTGAGCCATGATGCTGTGGGCACAAGTACTCGGCTCCTTCTCCACCTTGGGAGCAGGGCCCATGCTCCCCTCCGTGTCCCACGGCAGCTGAATGAGCACAGGCCAGAGGACCCGAAAACTTGCCTTTTCATTCACCTCTAGCACCTGTCAAAATATTAAGCTAACAGGGACGTGATTGCTGTGAATTGCTCCAGAGAATAGCTGGAAGCTCCTAAGATTTAAAAAGAAATGTTAATGCCACAGTTCTGGCAGTGTTCCATTGAAGAGTGGAGAATGTACAATTAGCATATTTACCTCCTTTTGCTCTGTAGTGTGCATTTAGGTCTAGTGAGGCCATGCTGGTTTCCATGGAAACCAGCTCGTCAGGCTGGCTCCAGCTGAATCCAACAGGAAATCTTTATTCCCAAAAGCAGGTTGTCAGATCTGCTCAGTCAAAGTGTGGTGAAAATATTTTCTCATAGTAGCTGTCTGTGCTCCTGGCACAGGAACCGGAAGCTGTGTTCTGAGGTGCTTGTGCCAGGGCCAAGCTGGAGGCTGGTGTTAGGAGCAGGGTGGGGCTCAAGGGCCTCTTTTTAAGTGACCCCCTTGGGGTTTGATATAGAGCCTGGGTTGGGTTGAGTGGGACCCTCGGGAAGCCCAGGCTCCTGCTGGTTGTGGGGCGGGCCCATCTCACTTGTGCTGCACACTGGGATCTTTCCTGTTGTAGAAGCAGCTTTTAAAGCTGGGCGCTGGTGGCTCACATCTGTAATCCTAGCTACTCAGGAGGCTGAGATCTAAGAATCACTATTCGAAGCCAGCCCAGGCAATAAAGTCCAAGAGATTCTTACTTCACATTAATCAGGAAAATCCAGAAGTGGGAGTATGGCTCAAATGGTAGAGTGCTAGCCTTGAGTGAAAAAAACAAGCAAGAGTGCAAGACCAAAAAAAAAGAAAAAAGAAAAAAAAAAAAAAAAGAGTGCAAGACCCTGAGTTCAAGTACCAGTACTGAAACTGAAAATAAGTAAATTTTTTTTTTTTTTTTAAAAGAGGGATCCTGGGCTGGGGAGGTGGCTCAGTGGTAGAGCGCTTGCCTTGCATGCGTGAGGCCCTGAGTTTGATTCCTTAGCACCACATAAGCAGAAAAAGTCAGAAGTGGCACTGTGGCTCAAGTGGTAGAGTGCTAGCCCTGACCTGAAGAGCTGAGGAACAGCGCCCAGGCCCAGAGTTCAGGCTCCATGACCTACAGAAAAAAAGGGGTGGGGGGTTCCTTGTAAGTACTTGGGAATGACAGATCTGGAAAAGCTGCATCTGCACTAAGAATGGCACCAAGTGGCTATGCAGCCCTGGGAAAACTGATCTCTCCAGTTTCCAAATCACTGCTGTGAACTCCTTTGCACTAACAGGCCACCAGCCATGGTTTGCAGCCCTCTCCCAGGCCAGCTCCCACACTCAGCTCCACCGCGAGGCTCAGTGCCCCAAGCCTTATGCAGCCACAGCCCCTGTCTCAGAGCTTGGAAGCCCTGGGTTAGAACTTTGAGCCGCCATCTTAGGTTTGTGTGGGAGAGGACCAGGAGGAGGAACTCGGGAGGGAGCACTGGGCTTGAGGAGCTGCTCAGGCCTCTGTGCTTTGGACAGTGGTTGGCAGTGGTTGCCCTTCCTCTCAGGGGCTTCTCTACCTGGGCATGGGGTACATGCTGAAGCCTTTCCTGCTGGCTGGCAGGATCGTGCAGTGTGGAGGCAGGTGGATAGAATGTGAGGGAGTGCTACCAAGTGTCATCACAGTGTCTACCAGTGGGGACTTGGGCCAGCAAGTGAGAAGCTTGGGCTGGCTTCCCCCGGAGGACAGGAGAGGGGACAGGCCTGCCTCTCTGCAAAGCTCATCAGAGGCAGCTTACCAGTTTTCATAACCACCTGGTTAAAACATCAGGTAGGAACTGGGCATGGTAACACTGTGCTGTGTTAGTGTCCTAGCACTCAGGAGTCTGAGGCAGGCGTATCTAGAATATGAGCCCAGCCTGGGCAGCTTAGCAAGACCCTGCCTCAGAACAAGACTGTTGGGATGTAGCACACGTGATAGAGCACTTGCCTAACGTGCAAGGCCCTGAGTTCACCTCCAATACTGCAAGCAAACCAAAAACACGGTCCAGTAGCCGCTAGAAAGCGTTCCCAGCCCAAGGGCAGCATGGGGAGAGCTGTGTCCCAGGGTCCCGGAGGTGGGACTGCACTCCCTGCTGATGGGTTTCTGGATCTATGTCGGTGCTTGCATGGTGGTAGTCACCAGGGCAGGAGGCTGAAAATGACCTTGAGTGTTGGGGGCCCAGACCCCTGGGATCGCCAGGTCTGGTGGCAGCACCTCCCCAGGACATCACGCATGTGGTTTTCTTTTTTAAGGTACCAAAAAGCTGACCAATAAGGCCACCCTGTGGTACGTGCCCCTGTCTCTGAAGAACGTGGACAAGGTCCTCGAGGTGCCTCCTGTCGTGGTAAGCTGACCCCTTAGCTTGTCTCCTGGGCTGAATGTAGAAGTGGGGCCTGCTGAGTGTTGGGGGGAGGGCTGTCCAGCCAAGGACGTGTCCCAAGGGAGCAGCGGCAGTTTGGGGTGCCTCCTGGGATGGGCTCAGAACCCAGTTCTCTCCTAGAGAAAATGGAGGGACGGAGACGAATCTGCTTGGCGTAGTTTAGTCCATGTATAATTCGTGCTTTCAGTGAGCTACACAGAACCCACAGACAGGCGTTCCTTTGTCCTGGAGGACCATTGTGTCATATCATGGACCAGAGAGGGGACTGTGCGACAGGCTGAGGAATGCCTGGACCCAGCTGCACCCAGAGCCTGGACCACCCCTCCACCTCCACCCCCCCCCCCCCCCTCCGCTGCCCGGACCCTTTCAAGAGCTAGTTTTCATCTCTGTTCTTGTGATCATTACTCTCTTCCTCCTGTCCCTGCTGGTATGTTCCTCCTCTGGATGGGTCTCATTCTCCCTCAGCTGTGGACAGAAGCTCCTGAGCACAAGAGGGGTTCACTATGATGTCCTTGGGATGGGCCTGTGAGCACCACCTAGGACCATGCAGACTCTGTGGGGCAAACCCTTGGGAAAGAATCTCACTCATTCCCAGAAGTCTCCCTGGCCGCCTCCTGTACTTCCGCCTCGCCCTGCCTGTGCTCCTGTACCAGGGAGGGGCAGAGCTTAATTAGAACATGATTTTAGAAGTGTGACAACTGAAGCTGAGCACTAGTGGCTCACATCTGTAATCTAGCTACTCAAGAGGCTGAGATTTGAGGATCATGATTCAAAGCCAGCCTGGGCAGGAAGGTTGTGAGACTCTTATCTCCACCAGAAACCTGGAAGTGGAGCTGTGGCTCAAAAGTGGTAGACCACTAGCCTTGAACGAAAGAGTTCAAGGACAGAGCCCAGGCCCTGGGTTCAAGCCCTGTGACCAACAGAACACATAAAAGAAAGTGACAACTGAGAACCAGATCTCTTGTGGCCCATGCCTGTTCTTGTTTATAGACCACTGGCCTCTGTACCCAGGCTGGCCTCAAATGCATGATTCTCTTGCCTCTCTTTCCTGAGTTGGTCTCAAATTCATAATCCTTCTCCTTCAGCTTCCTGAGTGCTGGGATTACAGGTGTGCACCAGCATACCCAGCTGGTCTAGAGTTTTAAAAACACACTTGGGTGACCGGAGCCCTCACCATATTTTCTGGAAAGGGTGGTGTGCCTTGGCTTGTTGGCCTAGTGGCTGTGCCCTTTGGGTCTCTGAAAGCAGGGTGATCCTGCCAGCCTTTGACAACTCCAGGTGATCCACCTCCCTGTGTGGGTAGAGTAGGCACAGCTCAGGGACAGATTGGAGGCAGTCAGGGCCACAGCAATACTGTGCTAGTGTCCTGGAGCTGCTGTGACACAGTGCCTCAGACTGCCTGGCCTAGAGACAAAAGTCGATTCTTCACAGTTGTGAGGGTCAGAGCCTGAAATCGAGGTATGGCCTGGGCTGAGCTCTGCACAGCAGCTTAGGAAGAAGCATCTTCAGAGATGGATATGGATCTCTCCCCCCCTTCCCCTTCTCCAGCTTATGGCAGCAGCATGCCTGGCCTTGGGCTGCACATCACCATCTACTTGCTTCACTAAACTGCCTTCTTGCTCTGTCTTTCATACTCTTCAAAGGGCACCAGTCTTAGGAGTGAGGGCCAACCACTTTGTGTGACATCTTACCTCATTACTAATTGCAACTACAAGAACGCTGTTTCCTAAAACATTCACTTTTTTTTTTTTTGCTGGTGCAGGGGCTTGAACTCAGGGCCTAGGCCCTGTCCCTGAGCTTCTTTTGCTCAAGGTTAACATTGTACCACTTTGAAACACAGCACCACTTCTGGCTTTTTCCTAGTAGTTTATTAAAGAAAAGAGTCTTGTGGCCTCTCATGCCCCGACTGACTTTGAACTGCGATCCTCAGGTCTGAGCCTCCTGAGTGGCTAGGATAATAGGTGTGAGCCACTGGTGCGCAGCTTACTTACATTCCCATTCTGGTTCTAGGTGAAGGTCAATTTTGAGACCCCCCTACTCAACATAGTCATCCCCCTCCTCTCCCTGACTCTCAGGTAACTGGGGTTCTGACCCAAGAAGCAGGAGAGACGGACGGCCACAGGAGCACCTGTCTGGCCTGGCCTTGGAGCCCTGAGTGTCAGATCTGCCACATCACGTGTAGTTTACCTGATGCAGGCCTCTTGTTGGTGTCAGTGTCTTGCAACATCTTCCAGAGGAGCTGGACAAAAGCCTGTGCCTTTCCGCTTGTCGGCACCTGGTGCTTAGAGCACTAGGGCTCTGGCCAGTGTAGAGGGGTGGGTGGTCCACACTCCCGGGTTCCCCTCTTCTTGCTGTAGGCCAGATCCTCTGCACAGCCTTGCCTGCTCTCCTCACCACCTGTGGCCGCTCTCCCACATCCTGGAGGAGCCCACAGCCTTTTCTCTTCCTTTGTATGGTGGAGTTGATACGACATAAATGCCAGCATGGCTTTGTAGACATTGTGCTGGAACATGGCTGCAGAGCCAAGGCAGAGGGCTGCGAGAAAAAGCTGGGATCCAGCTTCACTGCTGCAGGGGTGAGCCGATCACTTCCCCACACCAGGCCCTGAAATGATAACCCTCAGCTCCCTGGGAACACAGGCTGCAGGGCTGGCAGAGCCCTGCTTGGGCACAGCTTCCTTTCCTGGCTCCAGGAGGCCTGTGTACATATCTCCTGGAGCCCAACCACAGGCTTCCAGCACCCCTAGCATCTCCCCTGCCAGCCTTCTACACTTAGCTGGCCATGGATAGTATGTATAAACATATTCACAGATGCCAACTAGCTGAAATATAGACATATCAGACACACTCAAACCTGCGTGCGCACACAGACACACACACGCACACGATTTTCTGTTGTGTTCATCTCCCCAGAGGAATTCTGGGCACTGTCATATAGAGAACAGCTTTATCTTCTTGCTCCGCCTTCTTCCCAGCCTGACAGAGGATGCTGCCTTTCCCTGGGGTTGGGAAGCGCAGTGGCCCTGTGATACTGGTGATGCTTCACCCTGGAGAAGCTGGAGGGCCACGGGTGGACACAAACATGCAAATAGGCCTGCATTATGAGACACTCAGGCTGCAGTCTGTGCACTCAGGCCATGCTGTCACTGCTTCAGATGAGTGGATCTCGTGAGTCCTGGGACTGAGCCTGAGACCAGTCCTTCACTCAAGTATTGCAGCTGTTAGTTCCCAGAATCAAGGCAAGGCGTGTGTTATTAGCTGGCTCCTGCGGCCTGGATTCCAGAAAGGCCCATCCATCTTGTGTGCTCTCAGAGCTCTGATGAGCTTGCTGAATGCCACATATTAGACTAGGAACCAGTGGTGGGGGGCGGGGGGGGGGGGGTTGGGGTGTTGTTTTTTAAGTTGTCTATTCTTTACTGTGCTGAGGACACAGCACAGAGCCTGTGCCTGCTAGACAGTGTCCTACCACTGCTTCCCCAGCTCCTGGCCCTCTCTTACCCCAATTTTTTTTATTTTTATTTTTGTCAGTCCTGGGGCTTGAACTCAGGGCTTGGGCACTGTCCCTGAGCTGCTTTTGCTCAAGGAGCACACTCTACCACTTGAGCCACAGTACTACTTCCAGCTTTCTCCATTTAACTGGTACTAAGGAATTGAACCCTGGACTTCATGCATGCTGGGCAAGCCCTCTACCTCTAAGCCACATTCCCAGCCCCACACTTTCCAGATTTTTAGGTAGTTTATTGGAGATACGAGTCTACCACTGGCTTCAACCTACCATCTTCAGATCTCGGCCTCCTGAGTAGCTAGGATTACAGGCGTGAACCGTTGATGCCCAGCCTTTCTTCTTTCTTTTTTGGAGATAAGATCTTGCTGTGTTGCCCAGGAAGTCCAGGAACTTAGTCCCCTGCTTCAGCCTCCTGAGTGCTGGGATTACAGGCGTGCATACCATGCTCCACTTGGCTTGGTTCTTTTGAACAAACCCCTGTCTCCTTTCTTGGCTTCCTTTGAAGAAGGCTCACTGAACCAAAGGAGATGGGTACAAGGGGATAAGCTGCAAGGAAGAACACAGAAAGGCCAAAAACTAGCTTTAGACAAGCAGAAACGAATACAGTGTAGTTTGGGGAGACTTGAGGAGGGACAGAGTGGAGCCCTGAGGGCTCAGCCACCCGTACTGGCCAGGTGAATGAGGGAGGAGGGGCAGCTGGCAAAGCTGGCTGAGAGTGTCCAGGCTGTGGTCATTCGGGATGGCCAGGCCAAGGGGAAGGGTGGGGACTGTGTGGGGAGCATGGACAGTAAGGCCTAAACCTGGACTGTGTCCCCCTGAAGGTCCCATGGGGAGGGGTGAGGTCCCTACCTGGGCTGGAAGATGAGGGACATTGAAGGTGATGCATGGACTGTTGCTGTTACTTCAGAGATCTCACGTTCCCCAGTGTGCCCAAGAATGAGGAGCCTTCGTTTACACATAAGATTTTATATTCTCTTGGCCATCCTTCTTTCCTCTTCAGAGAAGTTTCTCTGTACGTCTTTAGCCCACTTATTTATTGGGCAGTTGTTTCTTTGAGGATTTGTTGTTGGGGGATTTAATTTTTTGAGTTCCAGGTATATTTTAGATATGAGACCCTTGTTCCTTGTATGGCTAGTGAATATCTTCTCCCAATCCATGGGCTTTCTATTGATCTTGCTAGCTATGTCTTTTGCCATGCAGAAGCTCTGCAATTTCATGCAGTCCCATTTGTCCAACCTTTCTTTGATTTGTTATGTTTCTGGGTCTCTATTAAGAAAATGCTCAACCTCCCTAGCCATAAAAGAAAGGCAAATCAAAACAACCCTGAGATACCACCTCACCCCAGTTAGAATGGTGATAATCAAGAACTCTAATAACAACAGATACTGGAGGGGATGTGGACAAAAGGGAACCCTACTGCATTGTTGGTGGGAGTGTAAGCTTGTTCAACCACTTTGGAAAGTAGTATGGAGGTTCCTCAAAAGACTCCACATAGAGCTCCCTTATGACCCAGCAATCCCACTTTTGGGCATTTACCCAAATGATCACAAACAAGACCATACTAAAGCTACTAGCACAACTATGTTTGTTGCAGCATTATTTACCATAGCTAAGATATGGGACCAACCCAGATGCCCCTCAGTACATGAATGGATCAAGAAAATGTGGTATATATACACAATGGAATTCTATGCCTCCATCAGAAAAAATGACATTGCCCCATTTGTTAGGAAATGGAAAGACTTGGAAAAATATTATATTAAGTGAAGTAAGCCAGGCCCAAAGAAACATGGGTCCCCTGGTTTCCTTATTTACAATAACTAGTATATGTCTGAGACAAGCAGAAATGGTCAGATAAGTTGATGTTAGGCGAAATGAACCCCAAGATAAGGACTCAAATAGTTTTTCTTTCTTGCTGTTGTTTCTAACATATTTATAAGATTATTTCTTTGTTGCTTTGTATGTCCCTCCCCCACATGTACGTTTAAAATAGGGATACAGGTGGACCCATTGTAACAATGAGATGTATAACACGATATATCAAAAAACGAACTTTACAACTTTTGCGGGGAGCGGGGGGTGGAGATGGGAGGGCAGGGATGGTAAGGGGAAACAAAGGAGGAGGCAACAATGCTTGATAAGAAATGTACTCATGCCGGCCCCCAGTGGTACCCTTCTGTAATCCTAGCTACTCAGGAGGCTGAGATCTGAGGATTGAGGTTCAAAGCCAGCCTGGGCAGGAAAGTCCATGAGACTCTTATCTCCAATAAACCACTAGAAAACCAGAAGTAGCGCTGTGGCTCAAGCAGTAGAATGCTCACCTTGAGCTGAAGAGCACAGGGACAGCACCCAAGCCCAGAGTTCAAGTCCCATGACCAGCCAAAAAAAAAAAAAAGAAATGTACTCATTATCTTGCTCATGTAATTGTAACGCCTCTGTACAGTATTTTCACTAATAAAAAAAGATTTTATATTCTCATACCTTTTAAATTCTTGAGTCGGAAACTCCCACAATCGGGCTGGGAAGGTGGTTCAGTGGTAGAGCACTTGCCTTGCATGCTCGAGGCCCTGGGTTCGATTCCTCAGCACCACATAAGAAAAAAAGCCGGAAGTGGTGCTGTGGCTCAAGTGGTAGAGCGCTAGCCTTGAGCTGAAGAGCTGAGGGACTGCGCCCAGGCCCAGAGTTCAGGACCATCGACCGGACCCAAAAATAAACAAAACTCCCACAATCCCCTAGGGGAGCCTTGGGATCCTTTTCCACCTTGGCTTACTGATCTGCAAAGGTGTCATTTGGCCAGTAGTTATTAGGGCTGGTCTTGAACTTGTGCAATTTTACATCCAGGACTAGGGCAGACATGACCAAGACAGTCGATACTCTTTTAATAGTGAGAAATTGCGTGTGTGGCCTAGCGAGACAGGTTTAACTACATATGGTACAGAAGAATGGTCTATGTATTTGTAAACTCACTGGTCTTGGAGGATCTGAGCCAAACATACACCCAGCTTATCTCTGGTGAGGGAGACTACACAAGATTTCATCCATTCGTGTTGTCACAAAACCAGTCCCAGCTGGCGCCCAGTTAGATGACTGGGCGCCATCCCTGCTGCGCCTCACCTTGGCCTGCTTCCCTCCCGCAGTACTCCCGGCAGGAGCAGGAGGAAGAGGGCCGGAAGCGGTACGAAGCCCAGAAGCTGGAGCGCATGGAGACCAAGTGGAGGAACGGGGACATTGTCCAGCCTGTCCTTAACCCAGGTAGGAGTTGGTGCCCCATGCTTTCTCACCTGCGGATATCATTGCCCACCATGCTCAGGCCACAGGGACACTCTAGTCGACCATCACCGTCCTCTGGTCTCCCAGATGTCCAGTGCCCTCTCCTGGAGCCAGGCCCTTTGTCCCTTGCCCACCTCAGAGCCAGGCTGGCCCCTCCCAGTGGCACAACATTCAGGAAGTCAGCATGGCACCTCTGTGAGTCTCTGGTGGGCATTCTGTGCCAGGGCCTGGACAGAGGGACACTGGCCTACTTCAGGGCGTTTGCTTTTGTTATGTTTTTCCAGTTTGTGCTGCACACTTAGAAGCTTGTTTTCTAGTTCACTAAAAATAAGCAAACAACCAGGCACCTGTAATCCTAGCTACTCAAGAAGCTGAGATCTGAGGATCTCAGTTTGAAGCCAGCCCAAGCTAGAACAGCCATTAGACTCTTATCTCCAATAAACTACTCCGAAGAAAAGCCGGAAGTGGTACTATGGTTCAAGTGGTACTGGCCAAAAAAAACACCCCAGAAGAAGAACACACACACACACACACACACACACACACATACACACACACAAAGAAAAGAAAACAAGCAAACAGTCAGGGTCAGTGGCTCATGCCTGTAATCCTAACTACTCAGAAGGCTGAGGTCTGGAGCTTGCAGTTGGAAGCCAGCCTGGGCAGGAAAGTCCATGAGACTTATTTCCTGATTATCCACAAAAAAGATGGAAGTGGCGCTGTAGCCAGATAGTAGAGTGCTAGCCTTGAGCAACAGCGCCGAAACACAGATGGCGGCAGGTTTGAACCCCCATTCCTTTACCGTGCAGACGTGTGACTGTGTGAGCGACAGTTTGTGGTGTGTGCAGCTGTCCTGTGGGCCCACCCATCTCTGTCCTTCCACCAGGAAATCCCTGCAAAAGCCAAGTTGACCAAATGTGTTTCTCCCAAGAACCAGAGCCCCTGGTTCTCAGATGCACTTTGGGGCTGCAGTTCTTGGGAGCTTGTCATACCTTTCTGGACAGGCTGACTTATGGGATGTCTCCCTGGCAATGTGCCTTACTTCTGTCCCCTTCTGCACACACAGCTGTCACATTTTAGTAGAGTTGATGACTTTCCAGAATGTTCTATGCTTCTCTACTTCGCTGGTCTTCATGATACCTGTATGTTCTGTGCTGGGCTTGATGATGTCCTCAACCTCAAGTCCTTGTGGATCCCAGATAAAGTGGATGTTCTGCTTCCTGACTTGGCTTCTCTTAGGTCTGCTTGTCCCTGGGCAGCTGTCAGGCTCGCTAGGCTTCATTCCCTCTCCCTCCGGTTGCTGCGCTGCTGTACCTTGCTGTGGGTTCTGGCTAAGGGCTCCGCCATTATCTCTGCTGTCCTCCCTTCAGGCTGCAGCCACGTTCCTTACCAAGGAGGGTGTGGATGACAGCCAGCCCGCGCTCACATCACTGGGCTTCTCCAGCCTGGCTTGTGGGGTAGCCGTAGTGCAGTTGGTTTCTCAGCAGTGTCTAGCAGGATTTTGCACATTCTTTGGCTCTTTGTTGGTCCAGCCTTTGCCCTCCCAAAGCAAAACAAATATTCTGAGGCCACTGGAACAGTATAGGTCAGTTTCCTTCCTGCTGGACAAATCTCTGATCTCCTCTGCTCCCCTCTGCTCTCTTCTACTCCCCTCTTCTCTTTTCCCTCCCCCTCCCTCCTTCTCCTTCCTTCTCCCTCTCTCTCCCTCCCTCCCCCTCCCTCCCTCCTTCTCCCTCCTTCTCCCTCCCTCCTTCCTCCCTCCCTCCCTCCCTCCCTCCCTCCCTCCCTTCCTCCCTTCCTCCCTTCCTCCCTTCTTTCCTTCCTTCCTTCCTTCCTTCCTCCCTTCCTTCCTTCCTTCCTTCCTTCCGAGCAGTAAGCCTAGCCTTTCTTGGGTTTGAAATTTAAAAGCAGTTCTTTTGTTGTCCTTCAGCTGGTCAATCAGGTCCTAAGCCTGTGTTCCTTTGTGAAAGGCCCCAGCAGCCCCAGGGGCACACCCAGTGACTTATTTCTTCCACTTTATCTCCTAGTCTATTCATGATTTGAATGCAGCAATGAATTGACCCACTGATGTGCTCAGAGCCTTCAAGATCCAGTTGTTTCTGGGGAACCCACACAGAGCTTGCAGAGGTGTGTCTCACCAATCAGGATAGGACCAGCTGTGGCGAGTACAGTGTGGGAGTTGTGGAGAGATATCCAGAGCTGGGAAGAGTAGGAATCTTAGAGATACTGACACAGGAGACCCAGCCTCTGGCCAGGATGGCCTCCACCCTGCTGGCTGTCTTGCTGCTGAGAATCACTGTGTAGGCCTGGCGTGGATCATGGACAGGATGGTGGGAAGGAAGGCTGCCTGGCAGGAGGCCTGAGCCCAGACACCCTCCATAAGCCGGGCCTTCCTGGGCCAGTCATGGAGCTTCAATGTAGACTACAGAAATACTGTTGGTACCATTTTTGTGTGTGCCTTTGTGCCAGTACTAGAGCTGGGGGCTGGGCACTGTCTCTTAGCTTTTTTGCTCAAGGCTAGTGTTCTACCACTTGAGCAGCAGTTCCCCTTCCTGCTTTTTGGTGGTTGATTGGAGATAAGTCTTCACAGACTCCCCTTCCCAGGCTGGCTTTGAACTGTGATCCCCAGATCTCAGCCCCCTGAGTAGCTGGGATTGCAGATATGAACCACTGGTGCCTGGCTGTTGGTGATTTTCTTAAAAGTGGAAAATGAGGTTGGTGACAGCATCCTAGTGGAGCATCACCTGTGACCCTGTGGGCAAGCCCCCTAGGCAGTATACTGTGAACCACTCATGGGGCTACTTGGGCCTGCTCTGCCTTCCCCACAGCTATGGCCTGCAGAGCCCTCAGCTCTCCTTCGAAGAACCCAGTCTGAGTGCTGGCAGGCAGTCATCCTCGGTGAAGTACTGCTGCAGGGTGGGAGGTGATCTCCCCCATGACTAATGCTTCTGCTTTGCCTCTCTAGAGCCCAACACGGTGAGCTACAGCCAGTCCAGCCTGATCCACCTGGTGGGGCCTTCGGACTGCACCCTGCATGGCTTCGTGCATGGAGGTAAGAGCCTGGGCACTGGCTGCGCCCTCTCCCGCCCCTGCCCCCCCCCCCCCCGCTGCCCCCGCCTGTCGCTGGGAAGCCAAGCTGCCGGCTGACCCAGTTCAGGCGTCGTGTTCAGTGAAGTGTAAATTTAAACTTCCAAGAGGTTGCATAAGAAATTACTGGAATACTATTGGTGCCTGTTTTTAAAATTGGAAATGAAAATGGGATGGATGACCACATTCCAGCCGAGGTCACACGCAACCCAGGGAGCTCGGAGCAGAGGTGGCGGTGGCAGGGCCTGACTGAGGGGCCTGTGGCACCGCAACGCACGGACTCGCAGCACCTGCCACTTGCATTATTTCTTCTTCTTCTTCTTCTCCTTCTCCTCCTCCTCCTCCTCCTCCTCCTCCTCCTCCTCCTCCTCCTCCTCCTCCTCCTCTTCCTCCTCCTCCTCCTCCTCCTCCTCCTCCTCCTCCTCCTTCTCCTCCTCCTCCTCCTCCTCCTCTTCTTCCTCCTCCTCTTTCTTCTCCTCCTCTTCCTCCTCCTCCTCTTCCTCCTCCTCCTCCTTCTTCTTTTTGACAATCCTCGGGTCTAAGGCTCTTTGTGCGTAAGGGTAGTGCTCTACCACTTGAGCCACAGCACCACTTCTGGCTTTTTCTGAGTAGTTAAGAGATAAGAGTTTCACAGACTTTCCTGCCTGGGTTGGCCTCAAACCGTGATCCTCAGATCTCAGCCTCCTGAGTAGCTAGGATTATGGGTGTGAGCCACCAGTACCTGGCTTACATTTCTTTTTGTAAATGCAGACCCACTTCAAGTCAGGCTGAGCAGGTCCTGGCCCAGGCTGCTCACGGTCCAAACACATGCTGGGAGATTGGAGGATGGGATGTTTGTATGGGAATAGTCTGCAGGTGTATTTCTGTGAATTAAGGCAAATACAACCTGCACATTAACCCACATGTGATGTGTGTAAGACTGAGTATACAAAAAGATGCTGAGCCAGGCCACTGGATCCCACACATAGGATGGAGGGCTGGATGGGAAGATCACTTGTGCCCAAGAGTTTGAGCCCAGCCTGGGCACCAAAGCCAGACCCTGGCTCCCAAACACAGGCAGACTGATTTGAAGGACGGTAGTTGAGTGGTACTGACAGTAGCAGAGGTTGTGAAACGGTGTGAGTGGTGGAGAGCAGCACAGCCGCTGCTCTGTGCTCAGCTGCTAGTCAGTTCTTAGATACGGCAGGCACTTCTGCACAGTGCTTTCACTTGTGCTCACATTCCTTGGTACCTAAAAACACCAAGTTCTGTTCAGTTCAGAAAACTCCTATTCATTTTTCAAAACCCAGGTGGAATGACAGCTCCATGTAGGTTTACACTGACATTTCTACCAAGGGTCCTTCAGGTCAAGGACTGGACTTCCGTCGTGTCTCCAGCCAGTCAGGCACACCCTTGTTTCCCAGTGGGGCACAGATTACTTCTTGGTTGAGGGTAGAAGACCCCGGATGGGTCAGATTCAGTGGGCCTTTATGTGAGAGATACTTTTTAAGTTTCTTTCTTTGCTTATCTTGGTGGTTCTGAGATTTGAACTCTGGGTGCTCAAGCTGTGAACTCCCCCTCCTCCCAAGCCGTTTTCCAAATAGGAACTCTCAGATTGGCTCAAGCAACCTTGGACCACGAGCTTCCTAAATGTTTAGGCTTCCTGCAAGGTTAGGGTAACAGATATGCCCTCACCTACCCCCCTTTCGTGGTTGAGATGTGATCCTAGGAGCTTTTGGCCATGGCTAGCCTTGAACCTCGAGCTGGGGTTACAAGTGCAGGTATAAGCCACTGCCACAGCCTAAAATTTGCTTTCTTCTTTTTTCTTTTTAATTGATCCCTTTTTCTGAGTTTTCTTTTTCAGTCTTATGGTTGTTTTCTCTAAATGCTGGCTGCATGCCCCTTTGGTCTGACTGACTTGGTCCTTCTCAGGGGAAATTCCACCTATGACAAATGGTATTTTCAGATAGGCACAGGAACATAGATAATTGGAGTATGTTTCTACTCAAATACTGAAAACATCAGGCTCGTGAGCTCTCCCCATTCCCACCTTGCTGGCCTCCAGTTCCAGGGGGCAGCAGCTCCTCTGCTAAGCCCAGACTTTTATCACCATGAGAAATTGTCCTTGGGCTTTACATAGCTCTTACTTTACCTGAAATTTGCCAAATTCTGTGCTGCAGTGTTTTGCTGTGTGTGTGTGTGTCGGCAGCTTTTCACCAGGTATGGCCTTGGTATGGCCTCAGTCCAGTTCTCTTGCTTTCCACACTGGATGGCATCAGCCAGATGCGGGGATTGAGGAATCCTTTGAAAACCATTGAGAAGCACAGCTTTCTAATATTTAGTGTCTATTTTTATAGGCATTTCAAATTTGCATGCACAATTTATAAGCTATGCTTAGCAATTATACCAGGTCTAATCATCTCTCTTGTGCCTGGAAACTGACCAGGAATAAATGAGAGTAAAGATGGTGCCCCAAACACCCAGGTACCATCACCTGTGGGCTCCCAGGTACTGTCATACCTGTGGTCTCTCAGGTACCATCACCTGCAGTCTCCTAGGTACCGTCACCTGTGGTCTTACTACTGGGTCCTGTCCACTTGACTTAGCAGACACCAGTCACAAGAGAGACTGCTGACCCAATGGGGATACCGGCTACACTCTCTCAGTTCTGGGCTGTGGCGCTTTGAAAAGCTGCGTGAATCCTGATTGTCTCATCACTCGTTGCCATGGTTGTGGAGGTGACGGTGGCTGGAAGGAGATGGTCCTTGCGGTCTGGGAACCATAGGTGGAATCCAGGGGCATCTTCTGCCTGGGGCCAGGGTGGCCAGTCCTGACTCTGGTCTTTGGTTTTCCTGTGCTGACTTTGGTAGGTTGCCAGTGGCTTCTGTGAAAGGCAGCCCTACTACCCAACTCAGCTGGGAGAGGCCCAGACTGCAGCTTCTGCAAGGAAGGGGGTGGGATTTCCATGACGGTGCAGGCACGAGCTGTCCAGGGCTGACATGGCACTGTGGGCCATGGTCCCTGGCATGGGGTCGTGTTCCTGAATGTCACACCTCTGCAAACCTGTTCTGGTGGAGTGCCACCTGTTCTGGCCATACCTCCGCTATCTGCTGACCTGCTCTTCTCCCACCTCCGCTATCTGCTGACTTGCTCTTCCCCTACCTCCGCTATCTGCTGACCTGCTCTTCCCACCTCCGCTATCTGCAGACCTGCTCTTCCCCTCGCTGGCCTCCAGCCTCTTGGCCCATCTCTAACCTTCCAGCCAACTGTGTGTGACACCATGTGACAGCCTCCCTGCCCCGGGCACCACCAGGCAGCCACTTGATGTGTGGTCACATTGGAGAATCACAGCTGTAGCTCAGCAGGTCACGACGGCAGTGGGCTGGGCTGAGAAGACTGGGAGCTGAACCTGTCTCCCAAAGTCTGCAAGGTGCTGCTGCAGCTGCAGAGCAGAGCGCTGTGTTCTGCAGCCCCGGCTCTGCCACCCAGACACTCCCAGCAGGCTCACTGCATGACAGAGTTTGCCTCTTAGTGCAGATTTCTGGGACTTTTCTCTCTGGACCTTGGGTTCCTCCTGTGCTGCTGTCTTACCTCAGAGGACACTGCCCCTGCTTCTGCTGCAGGCGCCCCGCCCCTGCCCTCACCACAGTGCTGTTCGCCTGTTGTCAGACCCTCAGATCCAGTCCCTTCTCCCTCTGCTGACAGAGTTACTGTTGTGTGCTGGTCGTGTATGTGTTGCCAGTCCTTGGGCTTGAACTCAGGGCCCGGAGGCCATCTCTGAACCTTTTTTGCCCAAGACTACTATGCTGCTTGAGGATAGTAGTCTTGAGCATAGTTCCACTTGTAGCTTTTTGGTGGTTAATTAAAGATAGGGCTTATGGACTTCCTGTCCTGGCTTCAAACAGATCCTCGGATGTTAGCCCCCTGAGTAGTTAGGATTATAGGCACTGCACCTAGTGAATGTGTGCTGGGCTTTTATTTCCACTGAGATTGATACCCAGCCTTATCCTTCATCCTGCAAGGCTCATGGGAGACCCCTGGCCCACCCACACAGCTGGCCGGGACCCCTGGCAGGTGGGCGGTGTTTGGCTAATTGGGAGCAGCACCAGTGCTACAGATTTCTACCCTGGAGAGAAGGGAGAGGGACCTCCCCTCAGACTGTCAGTGCATTCCCTCTCAAGAGGGTTCTGAACTCTGTACTCTTGTCATCTGCCTGGATAGCCTTTAGGAAGAAGCTCGGAGCCTTTTTTTTTTTTTGACTAGGTCTCTGTACATAGCTCAGTCTGGCCTCCACCTCCTGATCCTCCTGATGTTGTCTCTTTTTTGTGTGTCGGTTATGGGCTTGAACACTGGGCCTGGGCACTGTCCCTCAGCTCTCCAGCTCAAGGAGAGCGCTCTACCACTTGAGCCACAGCACCACTTCCGGTTTTCTGGTAGTTTATTGGAGATAAGAGTTTTCACTGCTTTTCCCGCCTAGGCTGGCTTTGAACCACGATCCTCAGATCTCAGCCTCCTGAGTAGCTAGGATGACAGGCGTGAGCCACCAGCACCCGGTTCATGATGCTGTCTCTTGAATGGGAGTACAGGCAGGAGCCACAGTGCTGGCTGCTATGCTCTTTTTCATACCTTTGACAAAAGTGGCCATGTCCTACAGGCCACGGTGACCATCCTTGACCCCATGAGAGGACCTTAGGAACTGGGACAGGAAGAGTGCTGGGAGGTTTCCGTTAGGTAGGATTCAGGAACTGTCTGTTTGCCCCAGGACCTGGTCAGGACCTGGGCCACCGCATGTCTTTGCAGGTGTCTGGCATATCTATGTCAGCCTGGTCCCTTCGGGACGATCTGGGCCTCGCTACTCAGGGTATGTGAGGAAGGGCAGGGCAGGGTTGCTGTCTGTCTTAGAACAACAGTGTGATGGATCATTTTTTGGATCTCTGGCAGACACGCCAGGAGCCTCTTCGAGGCAAGAGTTTTGGTCACAGTTTC